GGCGCATCAAACAGGGTTTATCCGATACAAAATGGACTTAGAGAGGGATTTACCAGTAGGTAACGGTTAAGGTAAATTTTCCGGGACAAGGGTATCCCAAAGGCTTGCTTACTTTGTGGATGTACATAATGTACTGTGGGGGAATTGGAGGGCGCTTGCTCTACATGCACCATAGGGTGAGGAGAAAGATAGTCCCGAACTTGCCACAGTGCTTTAGTCCCACCAAGTTCTCAAGTTTTCGCCGTCACCTTTCGTGGTGTGATCGAATCAGGACAGAAGTTCGTTTGTCGCGCAAAGCCGTAGAGCTCTTAAACGCACCTCAAGGGCATGTGCTTAAGGAACCTACGGTTAAAGGCCTTGGCCGACAGCTCAATGCTCTTGGTGTCAACACCAAGCTTATCTTTTCTCCTACCCGGATCGTCTTAAGATTTCCTTATCGTCTATACTTTAAGTATCTATTATTAACCGTATTTAGCCACCTTTCTCTGCTTACCCTTCTGCTTAAAGTGTATCATCGTTATTGTTTCACGTAAGCGGCCATGCAGCGACAGGTGGTGCGGGAGACATGCGTAATAATTCAAACAAGGAGTTGTACTAACCGCCGTGAGGTTGGATTGCGCCACGCAATCCCTATTGCTGCCTAGATTAATTCATTAGACACCGGTCTTTCTGCTCATAAGGATCGTATACGCCATAGACGTGTATAACTTTCGTTCCCCGACACTAGGCAGTAATTGGTTACTCAATGTGTGATTCAGTCTTCGTTCGTCGCAACGAGGCTGGACCTTAACGTGGTGCGATGGTTTGCATACCCCATTGAACCATTGAGCTATACTGGGTGATGTCGCCGGCACCTTGAGAGCTACCCCTATCAGGTTGGTTCACGGTGTGAGATGAGACAAACAGTCCTCCAGATTCGGGTTTGAAATGGGATGGCGTCCAATTCTGTAGAATTAAATCATTGCCTACTCCCCGCTGCCTTGCGCACAGGCTTGTGAGCCAAAGACTTGGGATGCGGACCCTACTCAGCCTCCTGTCTAGATCTGGTCGCCCAAGCAGTACCTCGGCCCACATACAACCATGAAACTTTTTCACGCATACACTTCGTTCTGCATCGGCCGTCACGCAGCTTATCAAGGGTCGCCTTATCTGCTGCATACAGCAGGGCGGATAAGCGAAAGCATGCTACTGCTAGAGCCTCCGTTCTTTCTTTCCCACCTGTTTCTCTTACTCCCATCCCGACCACCATTACTTGCCTTCCTTCTATAATACTCAGATTAACTGATATCAACCGAAGTGCCACTGGAGTAAAACCATCTACCGCCACCATCCCTTAGCACCTATCGGACGCCTATCGGCAAACGTCCCTTATAAGGCCACGCTATCTCGTTTCCATGGCGACATTCAACGTTCGCACTCTAAGGCAAACAGGTCGACAAGATGAACTCGAACGCACCTTGCACACACTGGGTATTGCTGTGTGGTGTGTGTGTCTAAAACTAGAATCAATGACCCTAGCTGGGTTATTGAAGTAACTGCACCCGGCATATCCTCTCGTTACTGGTTGCACGCATCCGGAGACGCCGATGCAGCACTCACGGGTCCAGATAGTGTAGGTAGCATTCTAAGCTCCAAGGCTGAGCCATCGTTGGTTGATTGGATTCCGGTGAACAGCCGTTTATGCGCGGTCCGTTTGACGAAATCAGCTAAGGTCGATTCACGAAGTGCTACAAAACGCTTTTGTTTGTTATATCCGCTTATGCTCCCATCGACTGCAGTTCTAATGCTGTCAAGGACACATGTTAGCATGAACTGAACGCCCTAATACACAGTGCTACTAGTTCAGATATTATAGTACTTGCAGGGGATACGAACGCACACGTAGGGCGTCTGAGCTCTTCAGAAGCTCAGCTGGGTGGGAGTTATGGGCTTAACGCAGAAAGGACTGACAACGGTGAACGTCTGCTGCAACTGTGTGCGGAGCACAAGTTGTTTATTATTAGCACTGCTTTTAGACACAGTGGGCGCCGAAGTGCCTCTGGGCATCCTCATGTAGCTGGCCAGCGATGGACCCAAATTGACCACATAACCATAAGTTACAAATGGCGTAGTTCCATCCAGGATTGCGGCGCGTAATGGAGCACCTGTGTCGACTCTGATCAGGCCTTGGTACGCTGTAGTTTTCCAAGAACTGTACCCGGAGGCGCTGCAAGCGTCTCCTCTAATTAGCAAACGAGAAATTATCTCAGCTCTTGGGCAGGCAAGCCTATCAAGAAGCACTGTATACCGAACTTCCGCCGTCTTGTCCTAATGACATGTAGCTTCAGTGGCATAGGACTTTAGCCGCCATTCACGACGCAGGAACGTCTGCATGTGTCACTATCCATCGTCACCGCTCCAGTCACTGGAAGTCCGAGAGGTCGGTGTACCTGTTGCAATCTAGAAAACACCTCCCGGCTGGCTCTGAACACAATGTGAGCAGACGGGCTATTAGGCGTGAACTAAAGCAGAGCCCACGTGCTAACTAGGAAGCCTGGCGGATCAGTAGGGCTCAAGTCTTGGGAAGGCAACTGCAGTAGGCATTTACCGCGAGCTCTTCCAGCTAACCCCCACCACTGGTCCCTTAAAATTAGGCGTCAGTGAAACAGTCAGAGACAGTGCGAGTGCACTGATACACAATAGGGAGCACCGTATGGCTCATTGGGCGGAACGCTTTCAAGGTCAGTTCAGCTGACCACCTGCTCCCGGACATCTTTCTACGCAAGTGATGCAGGGGGAGCTATTGATGGTTAGTTTAGAGCCTCCGTCCGAGGCCGTGGTCCGAAAAGTGATCACGGCCCTCAATCGTTTTCTTGCCGCTGGCCCGGATTCCCTCCCACCTGCACTATTTAAGGAAGGAGATGAGGTCAGCTGAAAAGCACTGACCTCCTTTTTCGAACCTATCTGGAAGGAAGAGCGTGTCCTGGCTAATTGGAGTGAATAGATTATAGTAGCATTGTACCATAAGGGCAGTGGCACAGACTGTTCTAACCACAGGGGTATGAGCTTAAAGCCCGTTGTGCGAATATTATTGGCCTCGGGTATAGGTCTTCGCCCCACTGTGGAACGGGAACCTCGGATTAGTGAAGCGCAGACCGTTTCTGCCCAGGACGTTGCTATATTAACCATATGTTCAGTTTGCGGCAGGTGCTAGTGCAATGCCATGCATACCGCAGATCGACAATAGCTGTGTTCCTAGATTTCAAGAATGCGTTCGATTCAGTCCATCGACCCATTCTGTTCGAAATACTTTGCGGAAAGTTGTCCCCACAAAATGTGAAAATTCTACATGCTCTATACTCGAACACTACAGGCCGCGTCAAGGTCTACGATGTCCCATCGGATAGATTTCCGACCCCAAGTGGCGTCCGTCAGGGTTGTCTGCGTTCTCCATTTTGTACCATTTCGTCTTGGATTCTCTGATGGAGTGTTCCCTAAAGGAATTTCAAGACGCAGGCGTTGTAATGCTTCCTGGTGAAAGGTTAGTTGACGTGGTGGGTTTTCGCCTGGCAAGCGTTCTCCCTATAAAAAGCCACAAATGTCCGCTTAACAACACTGCAACGTGGCGGATGTGACTCGCCACAAAATAAAGTCACTGCTATACATTTCACACTGACGCAGTCCTCAGCCTCCAACATCGAACCTGTGCAACTGATTTTACTATGAAGAATGCTTTAGTGGAGTACCGATCATCCCGGCTTCGTAATGGTCATTGATTGCACTAAACCTTGTTCGGGCTCCTGTGCTCATGGATCACTACATGTCAAATTTACCCCCCACTTGTATCTTGACGCAACAGTTTTTGCGCGCCACGGCGCCATTATGATCCTTGGTCTGACTATTACCTGACAATATGCTCGCTCTTATGGACTACATATTTTCGTTTATTCCTTTCATTGTAACGAAATGTTTTAATATTCCAAAGAAGCTGTGCTTGTATGCATATTTGATCATGCCTTTTAGAGGTGTGTCTCGTTTTACAGAGAATATACTATTTATTTATTTATTTATTTATTTATTTAAATTATGCGGACAGTATCGTCTTGCTTTTTGATCATGTTGCGACGGCACAATGAACCCTGATTAGCCTGTCCAGAGTGGTCCCCTTACCTGGAATGCACTTCGCACCTCCAAAGTGCGAAGTGTTGCTGCAGGACCACCACCCAATTGACGACCCCTTGATGCGTGGTAGCGAGGACATCGAGATGGTTGATCAATGCACTTATCTTGGCGACTGCCTCAACAACGATGGGCGCATAGAAACAGATGTCAGCTCACGCATTGCAAAGGCCAGAGCCGCCTTCCAGAACCTGCAACATCTTTGGCTACAGAAAAGTATTTTCCTCCGTCTTAAAGGCCGTATATACAAGGCCACAGTGAGGACCGTTCTTCCCTATGGTAGTGCGACTTGGCCCCTCTGGTATGAAGAGTTGAGGCGCATACAAGCCTTTGATCATCGTTGTCTGCGACATATTGCTGGTGTCGGATGGCACCGGCGTGTCCACAACGAGGATGTACATAGGCGAGTACTATGTAGTGCTAGTCATGCTAGCTTCCTAGAACAACAGATAGCACTGAATAAGTCGCGTTGGCTCGGACACGGGCTACTTATGCCTGGTCACCGCGTACTTAGGAGGGCCTTGTTTAGTCTGTCAGGTGTAGGGTGGCGCAAGGCTCGAGGTGGACAGAAGTTGACTTGGCAGCGTGAACTAAAGTCCCTGACGACCAAACTGGGTGCCGTTGGTCCGTCTCGCCTTCCGGGCTAGAGTCCACGTGACTCGCATTGTGCTTGGCTCGAGACTTTACAGGACATGGCTCGCAGTAGACACCAGTGGCGCGTCTGCTGCCGGCTCCTAATCGGATTGTCTGGATAAAGTGTGTTTGGCGCTGAGTTATCTGCGGGGTAATGGCTGATTATAACGCGGGGCAGTGAAAGCAGCAAGGAAGCTGTCTCGCCGATGTCAGCTTATCTTTGCGTGATAGCCAGCTGTGAGCATGTGACCTTCGGAAAATCGACGAGGCGCGTGAAGTCGTTTCTCACATTTCACCACAACTGCGTCCACAGGAACGTAGCAGTGACTCGATTGACTGTTCGGTTCTATATTGGTGCCGTCTAGAGAAACGGCTGTCTTAATATGCTTCATCTCCGGTAAATTCCAATTTTTCCCAGATTGTCGAGCGTATGAATAACCAAAGTCGGTTACTGACGTGGGGCGTACAGTAAACAGCGGACTCTTCAGGTTATGGTTTCTTCTCTCAGATGGACTCAAAGGTTGCGGCACCGAACGGAAATCAACAGAGTTAAATGATGCCGACCGCTGCATTGGCGGTTCGGCGGTAAGAATATGCTGCTCTGTAGTCAAGGAATGCGTTTTGTTCTTCTGGCGATCTGGGGGAACATCGCTTAGTACACGAACGGATGCACGATTACTGTCATCAGGGTCACCACGAGACCGTAAACTCTCGAGATTCGCTCGAACCGACTCGACGTTCAGGTGCAAACTTTTCCTCGAGATATCCAACTCGAACAAGCGATGTTCCGCAATGCTCAACTCGTTCACGAACTTGTTCGTCGTAGACAATGTACGCCTTTTTTGGACAGGCGGCGTCTCGATCCCTGCCAGCTCGTCAGGCGGTTCACTGTGCACAGCCACTCTCTCCGCGCATAGTTGCACCTCTGTCATGGCTTTCGGAGTCAGCTGGGAAGCCAACAGAGTCAGCTGGGTTCTCAGTGTGTGCACAGTGGCTTCTGATTGTTGGAATGCTTGAATGAAGCGATCTCTATCCCGCTCTGCAGCTTCAATGCGCCGCAACAACTCATCCACTTCGTTGGGTGTCGGTTCCGATGCCTCTACTCTGGACAGCAACCGCGGAAGATTGGCTTGCAGCTCGATATCATCAATGTAGAAAGTACTGGTGGCTTCCGTTAGCGAGTTTGACGGCGTCTGTCGTTCTACGTCCTGCAATTTCAGTTCGTGTTTCAGACAACTTAATTCCTCATCGCGTTCGCGCAAGACAAGGCGTAAATCCGCTAACTGTTTGTCACGGTGACCCAATGCTTCCAGCCGGGTAGAAAATTGATCGAAAGCAACTTGTAACTGCCGACAGAGCAGCTCATTGCTCATAGCCAACTCAGAACACCTGATTGAGCAGTGGTGTTGCTGTGCGGCCGACAGGTCGTTTGGAAATGAATCAGCTGAAACAGTAGAGCATAAACCATCAGTAAACACTTGCTTATCGACAGTGACATTACGCGATCGCAATGACTCCAGGTGCTGCGTCAGGGTAACAGTGTACTCTTCTAATTGGTTACGAGTAGTTTGATACGCGATCTGCAGATTAGCATAATCGAACTGCAGTTTCGTGTGTTCGTTATGGCTGCGCGCAAGTTGCTCCTGAGAGAACTTTAATTCTTTTATTAAGCGGGTGTTTACCTCGCGTAAGCATTGACACTCTTGCTCCAAAGACTGCAATCGTTCTTGTGCAGCCTCCTGCCCTGAAACCCACTGCTGTGTGAATTGCTCAAACTTCACAGCCTCTGTCGACTGGCGTAAAGGAGTGTTATGCTCCGACCTCTCATTCGCTTGCCCTAGTTGAGCGACCTGCGCAAGGATGACACGCAAAATCGTGAAGCGTTCCATATTTTTTCAGTGTGCGTACTGCCTACGCTTGGAACGCCCTCCCCGAAGCTGTTGTCTCAGCGCCCAATACGGAGGCCTTCAAACAGCGCCTAGACGCTTGGCTCTTACCTCGCGGGTCTTCCACGTTGCTAAGATCTGGCCACTTGCCAAGCTAACACGCGGCGCTTCCATCATTTTGCTTCTATCCAACTTTGCCGAATTTACCTACACCACTCTCTTGTTTCAGGTATCCACGTTCCCACAGTCAACTCGCTGAATTCTTGTGCTGAACACAACTACTGCGTCGAGACCCACAACATCTGTTACCTACCGACGAGATCAGGACCTTGCCGTAAGATCCCGAGGCAGAACCACCGAAAAGCTACGCTTACTCGTTCTGCGCAAACCCGTGAAACCCGTGACGGCATGTTGTCTACAAAAGGTGCAGGCGTCTTGATCCCGAATGTTGGCATTGGGTATTAAGGTTTACAAATAAGCCCCCTTCTTTACCTCTTAATCTTCATTTCATAGGTCCTCATGGTTTTGTGGCAGCGAAGCATCAGTTCAAATGGCTGGTGTACTGCTGCTGCTGATGATGATGCGGTCTTTGTTTTAAGTTCATCTATATTTCATGGTCCTCAGTCATCTAGTTTGAAGGCCCGCTGAAGAGGGAGGAGTCACGGTATACTCCGACAGTTCTAATCCCACTTGAACATGGGGAAAAGGTCGTAAAATTGCAGGAGAGCACTATGCGCTGCATCTGAAACAGTACATACTTAGGTAACCACATTAGACTGTTGTCCCTTCCAGCAAATTAAAGCGCATTGTGTACCGTTAGTAACAATAATTTCAAACAGTCATATAGTAAGTCTGAATTTATCTAAAATACTGCTTGTTTGTATCACTCTAAAGAACCAGTTTGAATGCTTTTGTTGTTTTCGCGCAAGTAAGATAGTGTAGGCGGTCCGCGGGCGTCACGGTAACACGTTAACAGGTAAGAGGTCGATCGGTTTTGCTTCCTGTTATCATTACCCTCATATTCCTCTCCGGCACTTTTCCTTTCCTCTTCCGTGCTTCTTTAGCTGCTTCCTTTACATCGGCCTCTCACTAGGCGGCTCGAGCGTACAGTCGTCTACGAGGTGTTTATTTTGCATTGTAGCTTGTCGCACTACTCGGACACGGATGTGCTCAGAACGCCGGATCGGAGGAACATTACAATAGGAATAATGACTGAATTCAGTCATAATTCAATCATAAAAAGCACATGAATCAAGCCTGGATACACTAATGTGCATTTAATTACTTTTATTGAATTTAATGCATTTGATGGATTAATCTATGCACTTTCCCCAGACCACATTTATAATACTGCTCTAGCCTTGTCGACTTAGCTGCAGAAGGATATAGTTTCTATTGAGAATGTTCCGAGACTAACCACCCGAATGATAGCATCACAACGGAGATTATTGAAGGAAAATAGATCAGCTACCCGCACACCACGCGTGACTGAGAAGGCCTGCTACACTGACCGTTGAAATGCCCCGAGTGACAGTTTTCCTACCCCTGACCGTCCCAGTTGGACACATCTGGGACGAAATTTGTCACTCCGAAACATTTTCGGAGCAGCATCAATATTTAAGGTATATGTATTTTGATGGTTGCAATACCGTCAACAATAAACGGAAATCGATTCCTGAATTGCAGGTACGCAATTCATAGTCGCAAGGCTAAACGGAAACCTTTTCCATTGACCGAAATTCACTCCAAATATGTCATTGGGACCGCAGGAGACATAAAAGTAGTCACTCAGAAGGCTGCAACGGTAACTTGCGCTGACTAAAATTACGATTTTATTGAAAAGTAAGGACTTATAGTCAAAGATGAAAAATAAAAGCTAACAACAAAGTTGGGCATTTTGCGCTAGTAATTTTCATTATTACTTTTTCGTATGCGTGACCAAAAACACGTCTAAGTTGGTCGGACTGCTATCCACCTGTTTAGAGAGAGTAAAAATATTGTTTTTAATGAGGCATATATTGTGCGAGGAGATAATAAAGACTTTCAAAATTATGAGAAATTGCCGTGTTCACAGGTTTACTGATATCTTTGACTAGCTATCTGAACTTAAAACGGCAAGGATCTAAGCTCGAGTTAGTAGCCGTTCTTCTAAAATTAGATTGTGCCTGATTGGAGTAAACTTCACTCTGTACTCGGTTCGTTCCCCTTAAGTATCCAAAAATCGGACCTGTCAAACCGCATTGGTTTGATAGGGAATACAGACAGTTAGCGCGACGACGTCGTAAACTTTGGGATAGATACATCAGCTCGGGTTGTGATGAAGATTACGCAGTGTACAAGAAACAGCGTAACTTATGTAACGCCGCAAAGATCAAGAAACGCCGGCAGTTCGAAGAGGAGCTAGCATCCTCGGCCGCAACTGCACCCAAGCAAATATTTGCCTACTTGAAACGTCAACTGAAACCTGGAGACGACCTACCGGTCTTAGAGAGCTTAGACGGGAAGACACTCATTTCAAGCGCGGAGCGCGCGGACGCCCTGGCTACACACTTCCTCACTGTATTTTCCAGTAAACCGGCGGCTGTTCCAGCACCGGCACAGGTTGCGCAAGTCTTGCTCGACAGCCTACAATGTGATGCAGTCGAAGTACATCAGCTACTCGTCAACCTCAATAGTGCAAAGCCCCCCGGGCCAGACGGACTTCACCCACTAATACTCAAGTCCCTATCGATTATCATCTCACCAGTTGTGACAAACCTTTTCAATAGATCGCTCTCTGAAGGATCCGTCCCGAACGACTGGAAATGCTCGATAGTTAAACCGCTTCCCAAGGGTGGTGATCCGAGTAAAATAGAGAACTATAGACCGATCTGTTTGACTTCGGTATTATCCAAAGTTCTCGAGAAGGTTGTGAAAAAGTGTCTGCTATCGTTCTTCGAATCGATGGACGTATTGACGCCAGCGCAACACGGCTTTACGAAAGGGCGATCCTGCATCACCAACTTGATGTACGCAAACCACCAGTGGGTTCGAGCTCTCAATGAACAGAAGGATGTTGACGTGGTGTACATCGACTTTAGTAAGGCATTTGACAGATTGAACCGCGAGGTACTCCTTCGTAAACTGAGGACATACGGAATCGGTGGCACGTTACTTCAGTGGATACAAGAGTTTATTGTGGGACGAAGGTTTAGAGTACAGGTCAATGACTATCTGACAGAATGGTTCCCATCGACCAGTGGCGTGCCTCAAGGAACTGTACTTGGGCCAGCATTATTTCTTATTCATATCAACGATCTTCCGCAGCAGCTCCAGTCACCATGTGTCCTGTTTGCAGATGATTTGAAAATCTGGAGGATCATTGAAAACCAGGACGACTGCGCTCGCCTCCAGCATGACTTAGAGCGACTGTCAACGTGGTCCACTGAAATGCAACTCCCTCTTAACGCAAGCAAGTCGGAGTTCATCAGTATCACCAGACGTCCAGCCACTCGATCATACACCTTGGACGGCCAGTTGCTCCATCCCAACACATCTGTCAGAGACTTAGTTCTCTCACGACATGATTTAAGATCACTAGAAAATACAGAGAAATCGTACCGTGCGGGACTTCGTATGCTCTGGGCATTACGACGCAGTATCTCCACATGGTCCCACGAAACCGTCCCTCGTCTATTCACCTCGCTCATTAGACCAATCCTTGAATACGGTGCCCCAGCTTACCATCCGATAACCCAATGGGAAACTGAAAAACTGGAGAAAATACAGCACCTCGCAACTAGAATGATACCAAGTCTACGAAAGCTTCCGTATGAAAAACATTGTGAAAAGCTCGGACTCTACACACTATCCTATCGCCGAGTAAGAATTGATCTTATTATGACCCATCGAGTACTACACTTGAATCACTTCCCCATACTACGGCCAATATTTCACCTGCGAGAACCCTGTAACACCTGAGGACATCGTTACAAACTCAGGGTCCCCAGTATGAACAAAGTATCACATCAGCTTTGTATCGAACGAAGAATCGTAAACTTATGGAATACACTACCAGAAGGATTAATAGAGGCCGATTCTGTATCGACGATTATTTTGGAAACCTGTGCTTTTGTGAAACGATGCACATACAGTGCCAAAAGAAGACATTGTATGTCCGGAAAAAATGACGCTAGTACAAATTTCTAACCGAACACGGATAAACGATTAACGGACCAGACACAACTGCTGATAATTCATAAGTAAATTTTGATTTTTCGTAATTCGATAGAGTTGTACAGAAACCTTTCTACTTGCTCTTAAATACAGTCTCAGTCTCAGAATTATTGCAGTGTAGCACGGTATGTCTAGAAAATAAGTGGTGGGCGTTATTCCCTGACGTTTTGTGAGATTTTACGAAGCCTATATCTACGTGATCACCGTCACCATGAACACACATTAGCCGTGTATGAGAAAACACCTCGGTTAATGTGAAGCAATATACAAAAGATTAGAAATTAAAAACACAGACTAAAAAAGCTGTAAAAATTAACATAATACTCCGTGTCACCTTGTGCATAGGAGTTGAGGTCGTCGTTTGAGGGAAAGCTAAAAGGGGGGGAGCGACAAAATACTCACAACACAAACTCCACTCTCGGTTCATCGTTATATCAGCTAGCGTATCCAACCAAACAGCTTCTTGTCCTTCGGTACTTAGCTTGACAGGCGAAAAACACGTACCGACGCTAATTTTGAAGTGAGGCTTTCATTCCTCTTGACCAAGTGATCGCTTTGCCTTCCCTCCTTTTCTATCCACTATCCCGGCGGACAAACAATGCACTCGCGGAAGTCAGTGGGCTGGCATGCGCAACACGTGGCCTAGCCACCGGATCCTGGTGCGTGACATAACGGTGCTGACCGATTCACTTCCTCCTCCTGCACGTTCATTGCTCTCATGGTGTTCCCACCAGACAGTAACTATGCTGAGAAGGCAGCGATACTCGAAAGTAACAAGCCTCTCAAGTCCGTCGACTTGGTGGGTTAGGTTATGCAACCGTACAGGGAGGTTGAACGGATGGCTGCATTATAAACTCTTCCCTTTGGTGCGAGAGTAATTTTACGCTAGTGCCACAGGTCAACAGATGATTGGCAAAGCGCCTCGCGATTTTGCTTTATGGCTTGTGGTTTAGTCTTCGATCTCAAGGGCGCTAATATGGCTACCCAGATACTTAAATTTTCGAACGACTTCAAGCTTTTGATCACAATATGTCAGCGCAGGAGTGGATCCTGGCTAAACTTGGAGACGGACTTTTATTTTCGAGGGACAAAGCAGCTCAAAACGACTGATAACCAGAGCTATTTTATCCAGTGCAACTTGACACGCTCACGGGTTGTCACAGATAAGCACAATTTTGTCGGCTTACTTTAACTTAAGAAGTCCTTCACCTATGAGCAACTCCACACTTTCTAGGTAGTGTGCGACGGTCACCGTTGCCATAACTTCGTCAACAGCAGTTAAAGAGGAAAGGTGACAGTGACCAACTTTGTTTCACACAGCAGGAGATATTAAAGAGTGGCATAAATTTGTCGTAAAACCGCACTCTGCACGAACTGTGCGCTTGCAGCTCTCTTATAACATTTGCCTATTTCTCGGGCACACCAGTTCTCAGCAGTCAGTCCTAAAGGGCACACCTATCAGCAGAATCAGATTCCAATTCCTTGTTTGAAACTACGATTACGGTGGGTCACTACTAAAAATGGCGGCGCCTCAACAACTGACCTGATGCGATGTAATCAACACAGTCTCGATTTCGACGGAACCCGGCGAGTTCCCCTAACCACTTGCTAGTAGCTTATGCGGGAACCTACATTTTGTAGATACACGTTAGCTAGAGGTGGGAAACACCTCAGCTACTGTGCCGCAATACAAAGAAAAAAGGAGAGAAGAAATAAAAACAACTGGTGAAAGCTGGCTGAGCTACCGGTAATGGATGGGCA